CTTTCCCTGCAGACTTTGCTCCGCAACCTTCCTGCCCTCCTCTCCCGCCCCATGGCTTTCCTGTCTGATTTGGGAGCACAAGTGACCCACTTAAGGGGTCCTCACGGTGGTAGCAGTGGGCACTGTGGCTGACGTTTCCTGGGCAGAACCGTAGCATTGGGGAGAGCAGGAGGGACCTCGAACGTATCATAATTCCGCAGATGACATTCCCTCAGGATGGTGCTAGAACCTAGGACCCTTCCTCTGCCCTGATGTTCAGATGCAAAGAGGGCTGCTGACATGCCATGCCTTAGCCAGACAGGTGGCTCTCCAAAGATGGCACGGCGGCCAGGCTGTGCTGGCCCCCTGCTTGGCCTCCTCTGGGTACCCCTCAAGTCACATCACCTAAGACACACCACTCCACCTTCACACAACAGCACGATGCCCCCTGACCCCACTCACCCATCTTAATTCCCACCTTCCCTTGGAGACAAGTGCCTTAACAATGAATGCTAATTAAGAAGAAATACAAGATGAAAAATGATCTGAAACTTACTCTGAAGCAGCTCTGATCATGACACTTAAATCATTTGGTTTCTAGGAAACTTGAAAATTATTGTCTTTAGTTCTATAATTGGTGGCTTTAGATTGTAATTATTTTTTCTCTTTTTCATCAGAACAATTTGCATTTAATAATTATTGATGCCTTGAAATAGTCTGAATAGTTGTGTAACTCATTAAGAGCATGAAAAGCCAAGCAGCCTTTGAGAACGCTTTGCAAAGAAGTCCTTAGCAAGTTTCTGAGAACTGGATTTCAGTGGAAATGGTGGGTCATAAGGAGCCTGGTTTGTGAACTGGCGGCTGATGGTCACAACTTAAAATCCTCCTTGGGAATTCCCTGGCGGTCCAGTGGTTAGGACTCCACACTTCCACTGCAGGGGGCATAGGTTTGATCCCTGGTTGGGGAGCTAAGATCCCACAGGCTGCTCGGCCAAAACAAAAACAGAAACAGAAACATCCTCCCCACCTTACAGAAGAAGCACATGCAAAGGTTCTGATAAAGTGATATATTCTTTTTTATTTTTTAATTAATTAATTTTGGCTGTGTTGGGTCTTCGTTTCTGTGCGAGGACTTTCTCCAGTTGCAGCGAGCGGGGGCCACTCTTCATCGCGGTGCGCGGGCCTCTCACTGTCGCGGCCTCTCTTGTTGCGGAGCACAGGCTCCAGACGCGCAGGCTCAGTAGCTGTGGCTCACAGGCCCAGTTGCTCCGCGGCATGTGGGATCCTCCCACACCAGGGCTCGAACCCGTGTCCCCCGCGTTGGCAGGCAGATTCTCAACCACTGCGCCACCAGGGAAGCCCTTAAGTGATATTCTTAAGTCACATGATTACAAAATTGATTATACAATAAATAGCATGGAGGTGCAGAGATATTAGCACTAAAGATTGTTTGCAGCTGTTCATTTCTGGAACTGCTTCAGACTTTCCTTTTTAAATAAAACGTGGAACCAAACATATTTCCACACTTGGAAATGGAGTGCATGCCCTGCACTGTCACCTCCTGTGACTCCATGGTGCCCTCTTGCTTCCTTCATAGAGTTTTCGGTCATGAAGAGGAAGAGAGGCAGGCCGAAGGGGTCCACGAAGAAGGCCAGCCCCGAGGAGGAGCTGGCGGAAGACAACGTTATTCCCAGCGGGGACAGCCCGCGGGCCCCCGAGGGAGGGGGCAGCCTGACTCCCAGCAGCCTGGAGTGCAGCAAGTGCTGCCGGAAGTTCTCCAACCCACGGCAGCTGAGGAAGCATATCTGCATCATCGTGCTGAACCTGGGCGAGGAGGAGGGAGAGGCCGGTAAGTGCTGCCCGAGGGCCGACCGCGTCGCTTTCTGATAACTCACATGGATGTAACTACTCACATCCGTTTTTACTGGTTCACTTGTTACTTGGAAATCGCACATATTTGTACATGTCCCACCTATCTGGAAAGTGCTCATTTTTGCAGTGATTACTGACTGTTATTGTACATCATCTTGGAATTGAGTGTATCATCTGGTAGCTGATGCCCACAGAGCGCCGGTCACAGGGGTACTTGAGTAGACGCTTGCGGGGGGTTGCAGAGAGGGTCAGGCAGTCTCTGTGCTCTCGAGCTTATGTTCAGGGTAAGACGATGGGCTTTTAAAGTGCAAAGTGTTACAGGATAATAGGAGTTGAGAAAGTGTTCTGATGGGAATTCCGGACTGAGCCTGGTGTCGCAGTTTGGGTGGCATTTGGAGTAAAGGAGGGAGGGTGTCTCAGTGGATGAGTGGGACCATGTGAACAGAAGAGCAGACACTGGGATGCTCGAGGCCCCTGTCAGTGACCTTGATGGCCTAGATTGTGGCAGGTATTCTTGAAGAAAGTAAAGAATACCAGGTGCTTCCTCCAGGTAAGTACTTAGCAAGGCTTCAGCTCTGAAGTAACTTCTAAAAGAGGCCGAAGGACATGTGAGTGTGAGTGGGGAACATCTCCTAGAAGACTTTCTAGGAGGACTGAAACGGCAAGATTGCACCGGAGAGCTGAGGGCCTCTGCTGTCGTGCTGCTGTTATTGTTTGATTCTTGCACCATTTTTGAAGTTTTCAAACCGCGTCTGAGAATTTAGGAAGTTCTTACTGTGTTTTATACCACGCTAAGCATGCAGTTCTGGTTACGGATTTGGGCTTTGGACTATGGCTGCCTGGGTTTGAATCCTAGCTCTAGTACTTACTAATTTCATTCTGCTTTATTTTCCTCATCTGTAAAATGGGAATAAAAACAGCAGTAGCTAATATGATTACTCTGAGGATTCAATGAGACAGGACTTTGTACAGTGCTTAGAACGGTACTTGCCATTTCAAAAGCACCCCGTAAGACTGACATGTGCACACTGCTATACTTAAAATGGATAACCAGCAAGGACCTACTGTGTAGCACAGGGAACTCTGCTCAATGTTACGTGGCAGCCTGGATGGGAGGGGAGTTCGGGGGAGAAAGGATATATGTGTGGTTGAGTCGCTTTGCTGTGAACATGAAACTGTCACAACATTGTTAATCGGCTGTACTCCAATATAAAATAAAAAGTTAAAAAAAAAACACCCCATAAATGTTAGCTGTTACTGTTACTCATAGCCATATGGACACAGTGCTATTGCTGGCCTTCCTGTTTTATAGATAAGAGCATTCAGACACTAAGACATTAAGCAATTTGTCCAGGGTTCTTTAGCTAGAAAGGGATCTTGGCCTTTGAACCCAGACTGTCTGACTCTGAACCCCAATTCTTAAGTCCTAGAAACGCCTCCCAACAGTGGAGCAAGACCCTTGGTGTGTAAAATCCTAGCACAGATTGGGTGAATTATTGAGGTAAGACATCACCTCATATTTATCAAACATCTAGGTAGGTGGCCAAGGCTCATTGCCAGCACCTGTTGCAAGTTGTAGACAACACAAAATGTTGTTCTTTCCTTTAAAGAACTGCTCTCAAGGTGACCACCTGAACTCTTACTAGGCTGCAGGGGCTGATGCAAATACTGGACACGGATTCAAACAAGGTAAGGCAGCGGGCTGGCAGCCGTCCCAAGATAGAGCGTGAGTACTCACCGTGTGAGAGATGGGGCAGGAGCACAGTGGTTTCGGAGGAAGCAGCATCTTGCTTCAGTGCCTAATGTCCTTTCAGCAAATACACAGAGTTTTAGCAATAAGGTGGCTGATGGCGGAAGGGTTAGGAGGCCACGGCCCTGCACCTGAGGCGCTCATCTCCAGGGGATTCGTTCCCTCCGGCCCTGGTCATGCAGTTGCTCCCCTCCTCTCTCCACCCATGTCCCCTGCCCTCTGAGTGTGTCACACACGCACACACACGCACCCCCCCGCCCCCCCCTTTTACTCGCACAAATACTCAATGGTTGTCTCGTTTTAACCAGAGGGGCCAGATCTAGCCATCAGGGCAGCTCTGCGTGTACTGGCCCGAGTCCTCTGCTCATTCAGGGCTGTCTCGTTGAGAGTCTGTTTTGGTTTTGTGCCTTCACACGGCTGGCTTGTCCTGTCAGTCCCCCTCTGAGAGACTCCTGGGCTTTCTGCACAGTTGTGGTTAGAAATCAGGGATATCCCTCTTTGGCAACACCGAACATTCTGGCTGTTTATTCCTCCGGGCCTTAGGCCTAGATCTAACTTGGAGGGCATGTGAGAAGTTCAGCCCAGTCCGTGGATGTTCCCCCAGGCTGTGCTGCCCTCGGGGGTTTCTTCCCAAAACACACTTCTGCAGTGTCTCCCCTTCACAGGAAAGTGCAAACTCTTCACCTGGGTATTCACGGCCCTCACTGAAAGGATCTTTCATGGAGCTCTGCGGCGTCACTTTTCCACGCCATATAGTATTCTGTTGTTCATGCCAACCATGGTACATTTAGTGAAATTTAGGTTATTTCCATATCTTTTGCTGTTATAAATATTACTCTAATAAACATTCCCTTATGTATATGTATGCATTTGTGTATGTGTATGTATGTGTATGTGTGGATTATTATTTGTTATTTTTGTAGGATAAATTCCTAAAAGTAGAACTACTGGGCCAGAAAGTGTATTACACATAGCCAAATTGCCCCCTAGAAAGCTCACACCAATTTAGATTCCAAAAGTATCCAAGAGTACCAATTGGATATTATTATTATTTGTTTTCTTTTTTAATACCTGGAATGATATAAAAAATACTAAGAAGAAAGTAAAAATAATCCAAAATTTCACTGCCTAGGTATAAGGCCTATTACACTGTGTAAAAAAAGTGAAGAAAGATCTTTCTCATTTCTATGTATGTTCATATACATTTTTCAGAAATGAGGTCATATATAATGTTCTGTGATCTTTTTTCACTCAGTAATGGAGCAGATAAATTTTTCATGTCAGTTTTTTCTTTAACAAGCTGTTTTGTAGCACATTCTATGTTGCAGATACTGTTCTCAGTATTTTACAACTATTATCAATAGCTCATTTCATTATCATGGCAACATCATAAGCACTATTATCATTCCCATTTTATAGACCAGGAAACTGAGGCACAGAGAAGTTCAGGAGTTTGCTAACATCACACAGCCCGTAAGGGATGGAGCTGGACTCTGAATGCACATATTCTGGCTGCAGGCTCTGTGCTTTTGATTGCGATGCTCTGCTTTCTGACTGAAAACAGTCAGTAAATGTAGATTTTTGTCATTTGTAAAGGCCACGCAGCATTTCATTGTGTGCATGGGCCATAAGTTTTCCTTCATTGGTCTCCAGTTGATTGACACTGAATGTTGTTTTAAATTTTTCTCCCTGATTAAAAACAAACAAACAGAAAACTACCGGGGTGTACAATTGAGCATGCATTTTTATTTTATTACTATATTTGTACTTGTGTCTTTATTATCTTAGGTAAATACCTAGTAATGTAATTCTCGGGTTAATAGGACATCTTTTAGGTCACATATTTTATGATTCCATGTGTATGTAGTATTCAGAAGAGATAAATCCATAGAGACAGAAGACTGTTGGTGGTTACCAGGGGCTGGAGGAGAGGGGAGAATGGGGACAAACTGCTCAATGGGTACAGGTTTTATTTTGAATGATAGAAAAGTTTTGGAACTAGATAAAGGTGGTGGTTGCACAACATTATGAATGTTCTAAATGTCCCTGGATTGTTCACTCTAAAATGGTTAATTTTATGTTATGTGAGTTTTATCTGAATAAATTATATGACAACTTTAGTTGATAAGATAACAATAAAACTATTTGAACAAAACAAACAAACAAAAAATAGGGCATCTTGGGCTTCCCTGGTGGCGCAGTGGTTGAGAGTCCGCCTGCCGATGCAGGAGACGCGGGTTCGTGGCCCGGTCTGAGAAGATCCCACGTGCCGCGGAGCGGCTGGGCCCGTGAGCCATGGCCGCTGAGCCTGCGCGTCCGGAGCCTGTGCTCCGCAACGGGAGAGGCCACAACAGTGAGAGGCCCGCGTACCGCAAAAAAAAAAAAAAAAAAAAAAAAAATAGGGCATCTTTTACATTTTGACACATACGCATGTTGTCAAGCTGCCTGGTAGACTGTCTGTCTGTTATTTTTCCGACGTTGACTGTGTCCTCATATCCACCTTTACCCTCTTTATCCTGGGTTGTGTCAGTCTTATCCTGTTAATCTCTAGTGCGAACAATTTTCTTTAATTATTTTAATTTGCCTCTATTTGGTCACTCGTGGGCTCTCTCATTGCACTTATTAGGGGTTTTTGTTTTGTGTGTAATTTAGGGCATTCCTCGCTCACGCCCTTTACTTGTTACACTTTTAGATCACCATATATTCTGAAAATATTTTCCAATTTTATCATTTTTCTTTTAATTTCATTTGTAGAATTGCTTTCTTTGTCTTTTGCATTTTACTGTAGTTTTAAATATCAGCATTGTCACTACTGTCAAATATTTCTTTTAAATTTCTTGCCCTTTTTATCATAGCTTAGAACACCTACCTATACCCCAAAATAATAAACAACCTTCTATATATTCCTCTTTTATTTGTATGGTTTCATTTTTTATCTATATCTTTGATCCTTCTGGAAATTGTATTTCTGTGAAAGTTGTGAAGTAAGACAGTTATATATATTTGATCAATAACTATGGGCAAAGGAATGATCTTCATAAGTACAATTTGAGAAAGTAATAAGGGTCTGCTTCCAAGTCTAAGAAACGCTTTAAAAAATAAATCTTCATATTTTGAAACAATTATTGGAATAATAGGAAGTTGCAAAGATGGTACAGAAGGGTCTCACGTACCCTTTACCCTCTTCCCTGCAGTGGTGATGTCTTACATAACTACAGCACAATGTC